ACGGATTCTTTTCGTCTTGCGAGGCACCACTGTATAAACATTGGGATTGCGGGAAAAAATAAATTAATAATAACAAATAAAAGGGAGGATGGAATGGGGCTGTGTGTATCCAACTGCTATGGGCTCTTTTTAAAGCTGATTTCTAGCCCCTTCTGTGCAAACTTGAATTCACCTTTAACCATGCCACTGTGGCATCAGAGATTAAATATGGTACCAGTGCAGCATGAACATGGGAGAATCAGCCTGGGCTAAAATGGCTGGAAGTCAGCACCAGATGTTAATTACATTTGTATTCCCCACTTCCATCTTTTCCTCACAACGACCCTGTGAGGTGGGTTAGGCTGAGAGTATACAATTCATGCTCTCCCTCACTGCCAAATCCAACATTTTATTTATATATTTGGTTGCTTTGGCCCCCTGCAAAGACTGAAATGCTGGTTATGAATCACTACTAAGATGCTTTTTAGGAATCTCTGATCCAGAAATAACTTGCATTCCCCATGCACACCTCTCCGTGGAAAATACAACACAGAGTAGAATGCATAATCATAGCAAGATAAAATGAAGATTTCCTTCTATAGGGGGACTTGAACTCATCCCAATGGCAAAGGTTCAAGGGTTGTATTAGCAACAGGAAAAAGATTTGTGCTGATGTATTCGTTTCAAAAGACTTTCCTTTCATATGCCATCCAACTTTGTATTCTTGATTTATAATTAAATCTCCAATACCCACTGCAAACCGAAAGCGCATGCAGGCAATATCTAGCTGCATTGTTTAGCTTTGGCCTTAATTGGCGAAGGCTTCTGCAATGTTTGAGACTCAAAGCTACATTGACAAAAAATTATGGTACAGCTAACAGCAAGATGACACACTCAAAAATTCACTGGCAAGCAAGGCTCATTTTAACAGATCCTACAGTGACATCCATAAAGCTGTCAGGCTTTCTCCGAAGGACAGTCATATCCGCTTCATGTTTCATGCGCCAAATTAATTGTTTCTGACGTTTAATTTATAACCTAAGGTACTTTCAAGTTAAAACTTGACTATGATAACAGTAGATTAGAGTTGCGCTCTGTTTGACAGAATAGATATTTCAAGTTCTTTCCACTGAGACTGAGGGTCCTGACATGGGTGTGTGTTGCACGCGCATGAACCCATATAGCAAGCATGCTCACAGAACACGGATCCCTCTAAGCAAAGTGGAACTGCACCATCCATCGCCCTCCCTCTCCGAGGCATGTTGCCATCGCCATGCTTTAATCATGAAGCTCCATCTACTGGAAGAAAGGAGAAATGCACACCGGAAAAAGCTCAGGTGCATGCCTGCATTGTTTTGCAGTCCAAAGAGAGCATGCTTTTAACATGAATAGGTGGAAATCCAAGAAGTCGTCTACATTGCAATATAAATCATGCTGAGCAAAATGTCAAATGCACTATTTATTGGGGGACTACATGATACCGACATGACAAGCAGGATTATTCACAAAAGATAGCTACATGGCGGTCAGTGGAGAATTTGACTTCAGGAGCACTGGCATTTAGATATAGATATATAGATATTTCTTGATTTTCACTTATAAAGATTTCCTATCTAAACAGGGGGGGAAGTCCCTAGAAATATTAGGTGTATTTAAATGACTAATCAGCAGGTCTGTTAGATGCTAAGCTCCAAATATTTTTGAAAATCGAAAGAAAGATCTGCTACACAATATATGATCATGTTTTGATGGTGGCAGAATAGCAGGAAATTGTGCTGGAGTGCAATGTTCTTTTGGCATTTGGTACCAGAATATGGGGTCATGGGGCTTTCATGTAAAAACTCACATTATCAAGTCAAGGCTGCAAAAGAATTTGGTTAAACTGGATTGCACATGGTTTCTATGTACTTCAGTAATGATGATGATGATAAATAATAATAATAATAATAATAATAATAATAATAATAATAATAATAATTTCTTCCCCATAAGGTTCCACGGTGTATTGCAGTGTAAAAATAGTGTTAAAATCAGCTTAAAAAATTATATTAACAAACCTACAATATAACCAGTAGCCCATCATGTCTTTTTGGAAGACAAGTTGGGATTATTGCATCTGAACAGGGTCAGCACTCACTCCTTTACCTAGGTGGAATCTACACACATATTAAAAAAAATGCTGTGAAAATGCTTTTTTTAAAAAAAAAGTTTTGAAAAATAAATTGAATTTTGCATAGCTCACTGTCGTCATCTAGTGTCACATTTGTATATTGCATTTTACAACACATTTAAAACATTTTATTTGCAGCTGTGTAGCTGAGTCCCTAGTTCACACCATCACAGTAAACCCTAGCCCAAGTGAGAGCAACAAGCCACAATCACTGGGCTAGTGTTACATCTGAACCAGGGATCATGGTTTGTTTCGCTCAAGCAAAACCCCAATTGATAAAGAGTAATTGAACAATGAATAAACCTTGGCTTCACATTGTAGTCTGTTTGGATCAAAAAGGACATTTCCAAGGGAGGAGCATAGGCGTAGTTGGAACAGTGGTACCTCAGGTTAAGTACTTAATTTGTTCTGGAGGTCCGTTCTTAACCTGAAGCACCACTTTAGCTAATGGGGCCTCCTGCTGCCGCTGCGCCGCTGCTGTGCGATTTCTGTTCTCATCCTGAAGCAAAGTTCTTAACCCGAGGTACTATTTCTAGGTTAGTGGAGTCTATAACCTGAAGCATCTGTAACCTGAGGTACCACTGTATTTATGTTAGCAGGGCAGGATTTATGTTGGAGCGGGGCGGAACTGAGCTATTTGTGAGGCAATTGGTCAGTTGGTTTTTGGGGGTTTTTTTACTTACTTGGGGGGGGCAGCTGCCTCCCTGGCTACACCCATGGTCCAGAAGGTATGCAAATTTAAAAACAAACAAAACAAACCACCCTGTGATCCTCGGATGGAGGTATAGAAATTTAACAAACAAACAAACAATAGTCTACAAGGCAGAGTCCCCACCTGCTGTTGTTCCCCAAAAAATAGGAATTTAATGGCATGCTTCATTTGATTCTGAGAGTTTCTATACAGCCACCGGGAGTAGTAGCCACTAAAACCACCTTATGCAATTAAAGAGAATATCCAAAAAAATGATCTACAGGTGGTAACTGATGCTCAGTTAGATTGCAAAAATGTGTAAGAGAGGATCAAACTTATGTTGGAAATGTCTGGAAGTTGAAGGGTCATTAATAAACATGTGGTGGCTATGCAAGCTCACAAAGAAATTTTGGGGAATGGTTTACAAGGAATTTTTAAAAAGAAATTTAGATTCACCCTCCCTAAGAAGCTAGAAGCCTTCGTATTAGCAATAATAGGGGGAAATTCCAAAATTAAAAATCTTTTCCTTTATGCAACAGCAGCCACAAAGAATAGCCTATGCAAAGTATTGGAAGGAGGTGGCAACCCTGACCAAAGAACAATGGCTAAATAAAGTAGAACTTGCGGAATTGGCAAGCTTAACGGCCAAAATAAGAAATTGGGCAAAAAATAAGGAGTGGGACTGTTTTGGGGAGTATTTAAGAAGAGACGGTATCATGGTTCCTTTCCAGGCGGGATGAACTTGACTACTTACTAGCAGTGGACAAGACAAATGAATAGAGAGGAACATAGCGGTCAACCTTCCCTTATTTGGCGGGAAACTCCCTTATTCCAGCACCGTTTCCCGCTGCTATCCCGGATTGTTGATATCCCGTAAATTTCCCGGATTTCAAAGGAAGCAGCTCCTCTCCCTCCCTGCCGGCCAGGGAGGCTCCTCAACTGCGTTGCTCGGCTGCGCTGCTCACCAATAAGGAGTCTAGGAATGACTGGGGGGTGGAGCTTGCATGCCTTGTGCCAATCAAATTGGCCGTGTTGCCTGGGGACTCACCTTTGCTTCAGCGCTTCCCAATGGAGAGGTGACGGTGTGGTTTTCCTTGCTGCTGTATCCCTTTGCCGTGTTGCTGCGCTGTGGGAACCACCGTTTGAAGCTTCGTTTGGCTGCTGGCTGGGCTTTCTGCCTTTGGGCCTTTGGCTCGGAGGGGCTCTACTGTGTGTGTGTGTGTGATAGCATGAATGTGTCACTTAAGCTGATAGTAGGAATGCTGTAGCTTCACACACTTACCTTCACACAATGTTTAATTAACTTGGGGAATTTTTTTACTGCAGGATGTGGTGAGGTCAGTACTTTAGATTTACAAGGGGATCTGAGAGATGAATGGGAGATACGGTTTGTCAGTATTAATGGACAGCTAAATAGAAACTTAACCCCAAAAGTTAGGACCAAGATTCAAATCCTGACTGGGTAACTTTGCTCACTAGTAACATTGAACCATGAGGACAAGATGGTTGAACAGTGTTCTCGAAGCTACCAGCATGAGTTTGACCAAACTGTGGGAGGCAGTGGAAGACAGGAGTGCCTGGGACAGGTGAGGCCGCCGATCCCTTATTTTGGCTGCTGATCCCTTATTTTCGAGGCTGCTGATCCCTTATTTTCAAATCTGAAAGTTGACAGCTATGGAGAGGAAGGGGTGGAAATTTATTTGGGGATGCAGCGATCCAAAGAATATGAAACAGAATGTCAGTGAAAGAGAAGATTGGGACAGTCTACTCACTGACTGGGCACGTAAATCCATGCCTATAAATGTGTGCAACTTTAAAAACGAAAACAAACAAGCAATCTTCCGAGGACGAGGAGGAGAAAGGTCTTATGGCCTGATCCAGTCCCTTCGTGCATCTCCTTCCAATGCAGGAGATCTGTCAGCCTCTCGCTGGAGAGATGCAGGCTGCGTTTGCTGCCCCAGCACACGCGACTGCGATGGATCCCGCTTGGAACCCTTGCAGGCTGGGCTCTCAAGGGGCGCCTCGTGCCCTCTCGCGCATGCGCGCCAACGCGCCCGTCGCCTTGCCCACGTCAGTCCTTCCCCGGCGTCTTCTCCGATTCGACCGGGAAGGGTGACACGCCTCGCGAGGGGCGGGACTAAACGAGCCTCCCCCAATCGCGGCGCAGGTCGCTCTGCCGTGAGCGCCCCGCCCCCTTCTTCTTCCCTTTCGCCGAAAGATGGCGGCCGCCGTCGTGGGGCCTGGCCCGGCCGCCGAGGAGCTGAGCCTGCTGGAGAAGTCCCTGGGCTTGAAGAAGGGGAACAAGTACAGCGGGCAAGGAGAGCGGAAGGTGAAGAGGAACCGGGGGTGCCGGGCAGGGCAAGGGGGGCTGGCGGTGAATGGAGGGAGGGAGGAGCTGGCTGCCTCCGCCTGGCAGACCGACGCGCGTTGGAATGGAGATTCTCCTCAGAACTGGCTTGGAAGGGGGATCCCCAAGGCTCATCTAGTCCAGCCCCCTCTGACAGATGGTACTATGAACTGGGCCGGTGCCAGGATGTTTTGTAGCTCTCTAGGCAAAGCTAACTGCTTCACAAAATAATAATAATTGCTAACTTCGCAGGTGTCTCGTGGGGGGGGAGGACCCGAAAAGTACAACGCTTGAAACTGCTAAATTAGCAAAATTAAGTAACCTGACTATATATATATATATAATTTTTATTTATTTTCCATTTAATAATATAAATTCACATCATTATTATCCACTTTACCTCCCTAGCTCTTTAGATCCTATCGACTTCCTTCCCTCCCGGCTCATGGCTTTCAAAATGAACCTTTATATCATTGCAATTTGCACGTTTTCCAATTCTAATTAAACTCATTACAAAATGGCTCAAATTTTAAATAAATATAGAAAGGTAGAAAAATTCTCATTGCAAGTCTTCAGGCAACCCTACTGATGATGTTAATTGCTTACAATAATCCTTCAGATATCGTATAAATTTACTCCAGTCCTTTTGGGAATACTTGATCATGCTGGTTTCGGATTTTTCCTGTCAGCTTTGCCTGTTCTGCAAAGTTAACCTGACAATATTTGATTGCCTTTCTCAAGTGCAAAAGAAAACGCTAAGGCATGATAACACAGGCGCTGGTTATTAGCAGTTTATTTGGGGGCTGCGATTTGCACCCACCTCACTGAGCATGATGGGACTTGCTTTCTGCCCGGACGTGCACGAGGTTGCGCTGGAAATGTTGTCAGAGGCTCTGCCCGCTCTCCCGTTGCCATTCATTTTAAATAAAAACTAATCTACACGATCTTAAATCTATACATGAGCACCAATGGATGACTTCTCATGCACCTTTCTCTTAACGGCTTCCTTCTCTTCACTGGGACATAAAAAAACAACAACATGTTTCTGTTGTATGGCTAGGCCTTAAGAAAACGTCTCAGCTTCTGATGTTACTACTTTGGAAATGAAACATTGCTTTTGGGCTGTGTCTGTGGATTGATTCTCTCCAGGTTGGCTTCTTTGGAAAAGGGAGTGAACGGGTGTGGGTTATTGATACACATTCATCAGATCTGAGTACTGCAGTTAACAATTCCATTGAAGAGAGGGAGTGTTTTAAATGTTGGAACACTCTTATATTGGAGAAAATGTGGTCTTTTGTGAACCCTTCTCCAAAATATGTTAGGTTGTTTTTAGTAAATTATCTCAAACTTTCATGTGCATACTGAAATGGTTCTTTCTGGGCAACCCTTAACCATGTGGTGGTGCTGGATGCATATGAACTTGAACGTGGTTCTCGCCGATAACCCATGAATGCTCCTAAAATAATAATAAATAACAATAATAATTTTATTATTTATACTCTGCCCATCTGGCTGGGTTTTCCCAGCCACTCTGGGTGGCTCCCAACAGAATATTAAAAACACGATAAAACATCGAACATTAAAAACTTCCCTAAACAGGGCCTTCAGGTGTCTTCTAAAAGTCAGATAGTTGTTTATTTCCTTGACATCTGAAGGGAGGGCGTTCCACAGGGTGGGTGCCACTACCGGGAAGGCGCTCTGCCTGGTTCCCCATTACTTATTTTGTAGGAAATCAATAGCTGAAATACTCCATATTGAACCCACTAGTATTTGAAATATTATGAAGTAAGGCTTTGGGTCCCCTTGGTGTTCTTTCTCTGTTCAGTTTTTCAGCTTTCTTTGTGTGGGTGTGTTCTGCTCAAAATGATAAAAACAAAAACCATGTGTAGAGGGTTATAAAACCGCATTTCTTCCTGTAATCACTTGAGTCTAGTCTTAATTCATTTATTAAATGGGATTAATTTCCAATAAATTTAGTTGGATTTTTATTTCATACAAGGTAGCTTTTCTTTTATAAAATGGAGTTTGACAAGATGCCTTGCAGCAGAAGTTCAAATCTTGTTCTACATCCGAATAACTGAATTGGCTTGAATTCCTTCTCTTAGACTCCTGTACTACAGATGAACAATGGCCCCAGTCTGACAGGACTGACAACTATAGCGATCCATCTAGTCAAACAAGCAAAGAAGGAACAGCTGCTTGGGAGCACCACAGAAGAGAAAGCAATAGTTCAGCAGTGGTTAGAATACAGAGTAACGCAAGTAGATAAACAGTCCAGTAAAGAAGATATTCGACTAATTTTGAAGGTAAGAGTAACAATTTCTCACACTGTAAGTTTGGATCTCAAGGTAGCATAATTGCTGGGTTGTTTCCAATAAAGTTTTACTCAGAGTAGACCCATTGAAATTAGCAGTGTTCTTTTTTTTCTTTTTGCAATATGGACTGAATTTAACTAGTGGCAGTTCATATATAATATCTCTTAATTATTCATGGTAGTTGATTATCCCATTGAAATCAATGGGATTTAAATGCGTGTAGCTTCGGCTGCACAATGCTCTGTGCTTAGTACCAAATTTTCAGTCTGATTTTACTGTTGGTCTAATTCTTAGTTATTGTGTGACTGTCCTCTTGAAAAGAGCTGTCATTCACTGGTAACCAGTGGAGGCTGCCCATTGGAACCAGGAGACAGACCAACAATAGGTAGGGCCAGAGTCAATAGCAGCCGGAGTCAACTAGTTCTGGTTGTGTCCCCATCCTCCTCTTTGTTGAATTCTGCAAAGGTAGCACTGAGACGAGAAGGAAGCTGACAGCCAAGGCCACCCCCTGAACTCATTGTAAAGAAGGAAGGAGGCAGGTGGGGACTGGTGGAGAGCAGTCTGAACTTGGTGAGGCATTGCCCCATTAACCCTTATGAATCATCCTCCACTACTTTTCTTCCATCCTTAGTTCACAGCAACTATTCTGAGTAAGGATACATTATTCCTATATATTATAAGGAACTGTTGGGAGAGGAATGGAACAACAATTTTCACTCTGTATTTTCAGTCCCTATCTGCTTTGGCACCCTGAGTCAGCATTGAGCAGAGTGGAAGAACTGGTTGAGGAGTTGGGAGACTTGCCCAGACTACATATTCAATTACTATGATTGTGCATACATATAAGCCTATCAGTTGTGGTGACAGTATGTGGAAGAGTGTATTTTAAGTATTTCTTTTTTTCTGAAGTGCATTCATTTTGTTTCTTTCTAGGACCTGAATTCATACCTTGAAGACAAAGTCTATATTACAGGACACAATTTTACTTTAGCAGATATTTTACTGTACTATGGACTGCACCACATCATAGTGAGTACAAGCTTGTTACAGATTTGGTTGGGAGATGCCTTTCTTTTTTCAAAATTTGATTTCCGTTCCTCTGTCAATAGTAACTTCAAAAGAAAAGGGCCATAACGTTTCAAGGGTTTTTCCATTATGTTAGTGTAGAATAGAAAAATGTTTGGTGTTTTCCTGACCATATTTCCATAATATCAAGGTTATCTGTATCCTATACATCTGGAGCATGAAAGCAACGAATTGGGGTTCTTCCCTCCATCTCTAATACTGCAGGGTGGAATGGGGGCAAAGGACCAGTCCAGGGTCATCCATCTGGAAGTAGTTTACTCCCGCCCCCCCCCCTTAACCTTTGAAAATGCTGTTTCCATATTTTGCAGCTATTACATCAGCAAATAGAACAATAAGCACAGAATAAATTGTATTATTTGAATACTGGGGGTGGCAAAGTTAACATAAGTAACATATCTTGGGTTAGGCCCAGTTTATGTGATAGCAGAACAGATGAAACCAGAACAATAAAAGAACTCATGGTTTTTTGTTGTTGCATAGGACAGAGGATTGGATCATGGTGATAAACTAGTGAAGAATCTTATTTAGTATGAAATCAAATGAATGAGCCATACTTCCACAATTCAAATTTTGAGACCTGATTTAACAGGTTAATAGACACTATATATTGCTGTTAATCATAATATGTGAAACTTATCTTTTCTTCCATTATTTAGGCTGACCTTACAGTGCAGGAGAAGGAGAAATACCTTAACGTCTCTCGTTGGTTTAATCATATTCAGCATTATCCAGGTATCCGGCAACATCTGTCTAGCATAGTCTTCATCAAGAACAGACTCTATAATACACATTAAGTGCTGTGTTAGGATTTCCTAGGAAGTGAAAAACGTCTTTTAGAACGACTAATGTGCAAGCCTTGGTTTCTGCCATTTCCATATGTGAAGCTGAACAGTTGGTGCCTAAAGTAATAAAGTTGCATTGAGTAGCTGTCTAGAAATATGGACTTCATTAAAACAGTTGTTTTGGCAAATTTCAACAAGTGAAATGTGAATCAAGCTTCTTAAAGTAGAACATTTATTTTAACCATACAGATACATAGGAACTTAGCTTTTATCGTATGGAAACGTATAGAACTTTTACTGCAATATGTCAGCTGTGCTATTGGTCTGAATTGTATCATGCATAGTACTCCCTTGTATTTTTCTCCTATGAATGTTTACACTTGTTTTGTAAAAAGTTACTATGAAAAAATATATTGTGCCAATAATTTTGAAGCAGAAGCCAAATGTATTGGTAGCAAATCATATTTATGTGATAAATTATTTTAAAAGCCCTTGTTTCTATTATTTATTTCTAAGGGTTGGGGAAGGTAGAAATTGATACAAAAGATTAAAGTATCAAGGGTGAATGGAATAAGGAACTAATCTTTTAAAAACAAAACTCATACTATCTTCGTTCCACGGAAACCTCTTCATTATCTTTTGTGCTGTTTTCAGGCTCCTGCCTTTTGTGCCTTATTATTTTCAGGCAGCAACTTATGCCCAGTGCAAACAAATGTAGGTGGTCCTCTCTCTACTTTAGGCACATTCCGTGTTCAGTAAGAGGAGCTGGTGTTTACATATTACAGAACATTTAGGAATTGTTGACCTGCAGAATGGTTTGCAGGCATTTGTTAATAAACACATCTCTGTTGGTAACCTGACCGGTACCGGAATAGGAAGGTACCCAGAAACTCCATGTGTACCATTCCTGACCTCCTCAAGAAGGGTAATCTACACAGTGGGTTGCATCGAACTGCATGAATGGAACAGACTTTATCTCCTGCCATTCTAACAAGTGGAGGCCAACTGTATCATTTTGCGGAAGCTGCTACATACATAGTGTCCATCATCATATAGTAGATAGCGTGAGACCCACCACTTTATCTCTTTCTTAGCTGCTATTATTATTTTATTTAGAAGAATTGCACTGGCCAGCCCCATTTTAAGTAACAACAAATATTCTGCTTTGCTTTTATGAGAGAGCACCCCGCCCCCATAGTTGGATAGAATGAAGAGCATTAACCTAACTTGGGGCTTTAAATCACTGTTCACGTTTGATGAGAAATGTATTTATTTATTCCTCCTTAATGTTATCCTTACTATGTACACCAGGATGAAATGATTTTCAATCCATTGCCAGGTGATTTCCCACACCTTGTAATGGGTTCAGACATGTGGCAATCTGTCTTGGTTCCGTCTGGTATGAAACGCTTTGTTTTAAAGTGGGAGAAGAATAAGAATCTTGCTATGCACAGCAAGGGATATGGCAGTGCCATGGAAAAGTACAAAATTCAAAGATCTCGAGGTGTCCTATGAAAGTACCATTTATATATTTACATACTGTTGGGTAAATCACTGCCTTTCAGCCTAACCTAACTCAGAGTTGTTCTGGAGATTAAATGAGGGAGAGAACTATGTGCACCATCTTGAGCTCCTTGGGAAAAAAGGTGTGTGGGGGAAAATATAATAAACTTAAATATGCATTTATAGCCATGCAGTCTCAAAACAGGTTAGCTACTATTACCATTAGTAAGATAATACAATTTCTTTGATTTAAGCAGTACGAATACAACTTTGCCCTAGACCATCACTCATAAGAGTTAAGTCGTCAGAAAACAAAAGATTGGGAAGAAAAGTTTTTAAAGGTTTTTGCCTGCAGGTAGGACAGCTGCTATCTCTTATCTTTTCTAGTGATAGTTTCCATTAAATTTATAGGGATCTATTATCCTGCTTTAAACCGTCCTTACTCTGGACTGGCCATATTTCACTTTTTATCTTTTTTTTGTCATAGAATTAAATACATGTTCAATCCTTTCTCATTTACATTTTAAAAAATAAAAGAAAAACTGCCTCCCCTGTTTTTATGGACTTTTAATCATCAATCTAAAACTTGTAGAAATGTGGCAGTTTAATAGATTGGTGGCTTTTTAACTTTTGCCCTTTGGAGAGCAATATTTCTTCTCAGCATCCATAATTAGACAAGCCTGCTGTTCTCCATTATCAGAACACTCCATTTCATATATCCTCCCTACACTTTAAACACTTTTCTGTGCATTAGGAACCATAGTGGTATACTTCTGATGTAGTAAAATGAAATTATGTCCTTTCACTTTCAAATAAATTGGGTCAAATCTTTTATCACAAAGTATTTATAAGAAAGTACCCCTGTTGTATGCTTTTTGAATATACAGATTCTTGCACGCACTCTCACGTACACAACCTTCGCATTTTGGCACTCCATGTCATGTGTGGTGGATTTATATCATTAGCTATAGCCCCCAAGCTTCAGAGTAATGTAGAAAGAAGTTAAAAGATTGGAGAGGGAGCTTGATTTTGTAGTGATTGCTTGTTACCGCTTTGCCTAGCGTTTCTGCAGGCGTAACTTTTATTTCCTGTATGGGTAGTGACTGCAGTCATTTCAGCTGCTGCTGAAGAGAGCCTGGCTCATCCTTCACTCCCCAAAAAAATAGGGGGAGGTTGGTAATTTTTTATTGTAGTTGCATCTTAAGGATTCCCCCTTTTCCATTCCTGTGTTACCTTGGCCCCCTTTAGGAAGATATGGAGCCATTAAACTTTCCATTTTATTGGATGAACTAAATCTCTTTCAGCTTTTTCCAGTCTCATGATCTAACGTGACAGCTCGTCGGTGATGTCTATTCCACTTCAAAGAGGCAGGTAGCCTAGGGCCAGCCAGCTGTATTGTGGATTCCGTGGATTTGGCTTGCTGTTCCTGCTGGGTGTCATCTGTCTTCTTAGTCTTGCAGTGGATAATTTTTGTGCTCCCCCTAACATCATCTGCCTGAGCAGTTCCTGCCTGGCAGGCCTGTCTGTCCAGGTTGAGCATCAAATATGGTAACCGTATGACTAATCTGACAAGGCAACTACTCCAAAGAGTGCAGCCCCAGGCCTGCTTTGACCAGGATCATCATCACAGCCCACAAACTTCCAACAATCACGACCACGGTCTCAGTCTTCCATCACAGATGCTGCCCATGGACTTATTTTGCTCACGCAATGTATGTCTCCCTTTCTGCTCTCCCCCCCCCCAACCCCTCTCTTAAAGGCTGTCATTCCAAATCTTTGTGTGTCGTGAGAAGTCTGCCTCAACAGGTTTGGGTTTCCCTGCCTGTTGCCAGCATTTGACTCAAACACCGCCACTTGGATGAAACAATCCTTTAGTGGATTATCATTGCTAGACAGCCTGTGGGAAAAATGACAGGACTCGGCATGTTAATCCGAAGATTTTACAATCCAGAAAGCCGCTAACACTAATCATAAATGGCAAGATGATCCCTAAAAGAGAAAGCGGGTTCCCTAGCAAGGCAAAAGTGACACAATTTGTTTAGTAAATCTTCCCCAAAACTCTATATGATGACTACATATGTTGATTTTCATGCTCAGAGCCATAAATATTCCCAGAGCTTTATGACTTGATGACTCTATCGTATGAACTGACAGGTACAGGATCTGCAAACGCTGCCTTTTTATAACTACTGCCTGCTTTCCTTTCCATTAGAAAGAAAAAAACGCTTCACTGACTAAACTGTGACAAAATTATGTGAGCATACAATGCAAAAAAGCAACAACCTACGTAAATTGTGCACCTGTGCACCAGACTATATTTTATGAAAGCAAAATTTGTGGCTTTGAAGGCCACCTGTTACAAAACTGGCTGCCATTCAGTTCAGTTCTATAATTCATACATTGCATTTCACCCCACTGCATAGAAATATCTCTATAGAAAAAGGCATTTAGACCATCATGTATGAAATTTAGCCTGCATGTTTTGCTGTATGACTGCAGGAGTCATACACTTGTGCCAAAATAGCTGTTTCGCTATCGGAAACATATGTGCTCTTTCCTGTAGGAAAATTATCTCTGTGCAAGGGGTAGGGAAACAGATATGAGACACCTCGACATCTGACAATTGGTTGCAAGGTGAAAGTCCTGTCTTTGGATATGAACTGGTGCTAAAATCTTATTTGGTGACTGGAGCAGATAGGAAGGAAATTCTCAAAGCAACACCTGGAAAATTATTGACACTATATTATTGGGGGTGGGGGAGTCAAATGATCAACAACATTATGAATAACCCAGTGGATAGTGCTGCAACAAAAGCACACTACAGAATAGCCGTAGTTTTGGGCAAGTAGCAAATACCACCTGCCTACCACTCCCCTCCAATGCCTGTTTTTGCTAATCACTTCACAGCTGACTCTAGTGTACCTTTCTGACAGCTGCCTTTACACCTTGGTGCTCCCTCCTCTATGGAGGGAAAAACATGAGTATAATACAGCTTACAGGGGGCTTCTGTGCAGTCCATGCAAGTGTCCAAGACAACACCATCACCAAATTTTCTTGCTTCCTATTGCACTGCCCTCACCATCAGAATTTCACTACCCACAACCTAAAGAGATGCTATCTACATAAACCATGCTTCCTCTGTACAGCTCATTGGCTTAGGTGAAAGGGAAGTTTGTGCAATATTGGTGTTTGTGTGTACAGCAGACGCTTGAGTTGCGAACGTGATCCATGCGGGAGGCACATTCGCAACCCGCAGCACCGCGTCTGCGCATGCACGGGTTGCGATTCTGTGCTTGTGTAAAGTGGGATTTAGCACTTCTGCGCATGCGCCAAAACCTGGAAGTAATCCGTTCCAGTACTTCCGGGTTTTGGCGCGGTGCACAACCCGAAAACGCACAACCTGAAGCGTCTGTAACCCGAGGTATGACTGTACAGTATTTGGCTTTTTCTACAGTTGTTCTTGATGCTCTCTCTTTATGGTTCTGGTGTCCCGGTGTGTCTGAGGAAAGATGGAGAAGGAGGTGGCTAGGCAATCAGTCTACACCTTAAATGTTTAGAGCGACAATCAAAACAATCAACAATGCTTTTTATTTTATGACATGTTTTTACCGTCTATCGAGGGCAGATTCACACCATACATTCAAAGGGCACTCAGAGCACATTTAAAACACATGAATTACCACAAATCATTCACAGACCTACAATTTCCAGCACTCCTAATAAACTACAGTTCCCAGAGTTGCACATTGTAAATTGGCATTCAATGTGGATTGAGTTTAAAACCCTCTTAAAAGGCTTTCAAGCTGTTTTTCAAAAAAACAACCGTTAAAAATTTAAAACACAAAAACAAGCCACGTGCACTATCACCCATCAGCAAAGGCTGCAATCCTAAGGCTTACCAGGGGGTAAATTGCATTGAAGTCAGTGCGACTTACTTCTGAGTAGACGGGGTTAGGATTGCACTGTCAGGCATCCGAACAGTTAGAAAACTTGCATTTAAAAAAATGAAAAATACAGCCCCTCCAAATTAAAAGCAGCATTTTTACATTATAAAGTCGGGGGGGTGGAGATAAATTAGTACAAGAATGTAAAAGTAAAAAAATAAGAACACGCTCGCACACAAAGGGATCTAGCTATCTTATCCCAGCTGGAGGCTGGTTTCTTTTTAACTCTTTAACACTAACCATCATGACAGCATTGCACGAGCATATAGGCTTGGATGACGTCACAGCGACCGACTTTCCCCCCCCCCCCGCACTCGGGCTGCGAACTTCCCTGCAAAACGAAAGCGCGCTCCTTGCGCATGCGCTGTACTCGTAAGGCTTCCCCGCCCTGCTCTCTCACACACATTATGGCAGCTGCGCATGCGCTGTCCAAGCATTGAGCCCAAAGTCAGCCCCACCGCGGCGGTTGCTGGCAGTAAGGAACGAGATGAACGGTGGGGGTCCCGTGACCCTCAGCCCAAGTAAAACTGGAGAGCCGCCCCTGTCCGGCGGCGCTAGTAAGAAGCGAGGCTCGCTGGGGGCGTCGTCCTCACATCCTATATTAAAGGGTAAGAAGGGCTCGAATTTTTAACCCTCAGTGAGAGAATAACAAACGCGGGTGGTGCGCATGCGCAGCATCGCTTTCTCAGTCTGAAAAGTTGTTTCCTAGAGCGCATGCGCGGCATAGGTTCTCAAGTGGGAAAGGCGCCTCCTGGAGCGCATGCGTGAACGTGTCCTGTTTGAATGGGCTTCTCTAGTTTAGGCAGCTGTTGCAAAGGTAAAACTTACAAACTTGCCCGGAATGGAAAGGGGCGCTAGACCTGGGGAAATTGGATAACTCGTGAGGAACTCGTGAAACCGAGTTCGGCGGTGCTTTTTAAAGAAGTGTGTAAATACGATTGCAAAAAAAATGTTCATGGCCGTGTAACTTGCATAACGTTTGATAATTTGGATCCTAGGTAAGTTATGCATCTCACTGTGAAAAAATTCTGTGGAAGGAAGAGTTGTATTTGAAGAGGAGATCTACTCTGTTAGTATGAACAGTGGAAACAAATAAGAGCATATTCATAAGAAACTCCTTATCTGCTCTCATTGAGAGAATATACTTTTAAATGGGCTATTGCCCACCCTTTTTGAAAAGGTTACCAAAAGCTGAGTATAAAATAAGCGTGATATCCCAGGGATGGGAATCTCGTTCAGCCTGAGAGGAGATTTTAACGTGGACAGTTTTCCAAGGGCCACATTCCGAGGCTGGGTGGAGCAAATGACAAAACAAATAAAACAAAACAGGCCAACATACATGCTGGAAAGCCAGCAGAGATTCCTCTGCCTGACTTTTAAGAGTAACTAGCAAGTCATGGCCGTGTATTTTCTCAATTCTGCCAGTTCTAACAGTGTTAAGCACCTAACAGCAACAATAGCCAACCATTGTGCCCCGTTCTTAGGTTGAAATACTATGCCTGAGAGTAAGTCCCACTGAACTTCCTTTTGAGTATCCAGCGGTGCTTGTACTGCAAGTTATTCCATTTTCTTAAAACGTTTAAAAGTTGCCAAGTGTTTGACTCTCAGAGGAGAATCCATGGATTTGGAAGGCCTTGCTGCAAAGCCAGACCTGGAACAGCTCACTGGCCTGAGAACAGGGCATACAGTGGTGCCCCGCAAGACGAATGCCTCGCAAGACGGAAAACTCGCTAGACGGAAGAGTTTTCCGTTTTGGAGGTGCTTCGCAAAACGAAGCTCCTATGGGCTTGCTTCGCAAGACGAAAATGTCTTGCGAGTTCCTGCGGTTTTTTTTTCCTTTCCCCCCCCTTTTTCTAAGCCGCTAAGCCGCTTATCTGCTTATCCGATAAGCTGATAAGCCGCTAAAAGCCGCTACTAGCGCTAATCCGCTAATCCATCAATGGGCTTGCTTCGCAAGACGAAAAAACCGCTAGATGAAGAGACTCACAGAACGGATTCTTTTCGTCTTGCGAGGCACCACTGTACTTTGGTAATATAGCGCTCTGAGCAACGCCCCCTGCCCAGATAAATATAGGTTTTATTGTTAATTTTGTTGGCATCTGTCCGCCTCGGGAGACAATAGAGGAGTGCAGCTTTGGGGGGAAGTCAAACTGTTGGAAGGTTGCAGCACCTGCTGTGACTGTGATATGAGAAAGACATGCTTTGTTGCAGCTGGGGCAGATGCATAGCTGTCAACGTTTCCCTTTTTTTAAGGGAAATTCCCTTATTCCAAATAGGATTCCTCGCAAGAAACGGGGAAAGTTGACAGCTATGGGCAGATGAAGGCGTCTGGTTGTGCTGCTGCAGATGCACCACGACATTTCTTCTCTCTGCGCTCCTCCCAGAGGTCATTCCTGGAGGTGGCAAAGGAAAGGGAATGAAACTTAGACAGGTGGGATACCTTTCAAATGCCATGTAGATCATTCCACTTTTTACTGTGCTTCCCAGTGCTGTGTAATACAGACTCATATTATTAATAAGGGACTTTTGGCATGGTATTCTACACAGTTTGCTGCTTGAGCATCAATTGAGTGGTGGGGGTAGGATTAGTATAGTCCTGCCTTGCAAACAAGGAGCTGTAATGTGGATTCAGCCATAGTCAGAAGAATGTTTGGGTACAATATTCCCTGCAAATATTTCCTTAAGATTTTGCATATAAAAGTCCACAAAAATTGTCACTCCTTGGTACACGCCTGATTTCAGATCTTTGGAAATTGCTTAGAGATTAGCGCTGGGATCCTCTAATTGCTCTGAAAAATTCCTAACGATCCAGTCTTACGCTAGGTTATACATGGGTTTAGGTACAACTAATTCTACATAGATCAGGTTTTTAAAATCCCAAAAGTTATGATTGAACTGCAAGACCTTTCAGCTTGGAGAGTTGTGGCAAATGTTGAGAGGCTTGACAATGTCAAAGATGGAAAGGGTGCAGACTGAGCATAAAAACCCCAATGAGTTGAATAAGTTAGTTAGGCCTCTTTTATTTCTTTAAAAATGTGCTACTCCAACTATTTTATAAAACATTAGAAAAAAAATTCATTAATCTCTGTGTACAAGCTTTAAAAAGCTCAGTTATTTCTGTTAAATATTATTCTGTCTACAGTTCTAATTGCATTTTTTTTTCTTTAGGAAGCAAAGTACTGTACGTAGTATTTGGATAGTGTAACTTAATGTTGCAAAGTTTTGTGCTTATCCTTTCATAGTTAAAAGGCCCTTTACATGTTTGGCTGCCGCCTCCTGTTAGCCAAGGGGAAGGCATTTTAAGGGTGATACAGCCCAGGCGTCATATAATTCATTGGCTGTTTTACTGCACTCAAACTTGGAACTAGGCCTGGGCGATATATCCATATATCACCCAGGACTGATACTAGGGGCAGAGCGTGATGACGAATATTATTTCACTATAAGGCAGCAAGTCTAGCAAAACTATTTCATCATCATCCTGAAGGCTGTTCCCTCCATGTAGCTAATGGAAAAAGAGTGAAAAAGATAAAGTACAATAGAAAGGAAGAAGAGGAGATGGAGTTTGGGGGTTGGAAGAGAGAGAGAGAGGCAAGAACCACGATGATTTCTTGCAGGTCCCTGAAAGGATAAGCATACATGTTTTTATTTATCATGAACATGTCTCGTTACTTTTCTTATAGATGTTGGAGAAATATATTCCAGACTTTTGGATCACAGACCGGTTATTCAAGGAGAAATTCGTTATTTCATTAAAGAATTCGAAGTAGGTTTGATATTCTATATTTCTATATTTCTATATTTTGAAATAATGTACCTTGTAAATGGGGGAGGGATAGTTCTAAAGTACAGTCATCTTAAGATTTCAGAGAAATGTTTCATGAATGGCTTTTAATCTTTTTTATAAATAATATACCCATCATTTTGACAAGTAAATATTTTTATAAATTCAGTCAGCTTGTTAACATTTCATATTCCCGACTCCTTCCCCCTCTTTCTGTGGTTCTTTCCATTTCTTTCCATCTTCCTGCATGCTCCAAATTATCTCAACATATTCTGTTATATATTCTCGTATATATCTCATATTGAAACTGCAGGTTTTTACATTAATCCTGCCAGTGTCTTAATCTGTTTACAATTTGTTTGTAAATGCTCAATAAACCATTGCAATTCCTTTAAAAAAAATTGTTATCTTGATTTCTTATTCTTCCAGTAAGTTTTGCCGTTTCTGTGTAGTCCTTAACTTCTGTATCCATTCCTCTCTGCTCAGGACCTCTTCTTTTTTCCATTTTTGGGCAAATAACATTCTTGCAGCTGTGGTTGCATACATAAATAAATTTCTATACTGTTTAGGTAGTTCTGATCATATAATTCCTGAAAGAAAAGCTACTGGTTTTTTAAATAAATGTTATCTTAAACATCTTTTTCAGTAAGCTTTAACCTTATTACAAGATCATCACATATGAAAAAAGGTACCTTCTTTCTCTTTCTCCAACACATATTCAATTTGGATTTATACATTACTGCCAATCTACTAGGTGTTAGGTACCATCTATATAGCATTTTCATATATTTTCTCTTAAACTATAACCTGCGGTAAATTTTATATCCGCATTCCATAAATATTTCCACCCATTTCTGTATTATTACTAATATCTATTGCCCAATATACCATTGAAGATTTCTTATTTCTTTTGGATTTTCCTCTTATCTCCTACAATTATTCTATTAATGCAGGGTTTTTCTTTCTTCTTTATTTTCCAAGCCAATAATTTCCCTGACTTGTTCAAATTGTTTCTGCTTTAAATATTTAATTTTCCACTCTATTTCCTGGTTTATTATCATTGAAGATTGCGTTTTCAACATCTTGATATCCTGTTTCATTATCTCTCTTCAAGGGGAATTTATTAATTCTTTTCCTTTCCTTTTTATTTCTTGTAAATTGTCTTGTTTTTTCTGCCCTCTTATCTTTCTTTCGTATGCACTTTTTTGACAAGTAAATATGGAATAGATTATCTGCAGCTTTTTGATGTTTGCATTGCTCATGACTCTGTCTCTTGAAAATGCCAGCTGTTGACATTTGGGGACCAGATCTTTAAAAGCATGAAAATCATAATTTGGCAGTGTTCCAAAGCATCTAAAACTTGTAGTTTCATTTACAACTACAAAGACTATTAGTGTGATTTTTCTTTGTTTTTTTATTTTTTAATAAAAGATTAGATTGTATGTCTTCTGGCCTTACTGTTTATCTGCCCTTTAAGATCCATCGAGATGGAAAGACACACCTCTCCTTGTCTCCTGCCACTGTCTTTAATACTGTCACTGCTGCTGTTTCTAATAGAAGAAACTGCCACAGTAGTTTTCTCTCTCTCCATGTTTTCATGAAGGAACAAATGATAGCAGTAGCAGGAAAAGGCCAGCAGGGGAGGAGGAGAAACTGGTGCAAAGAAGTAGGCATATGAAAGCGTTCATGGGGAATCTCCTTCCCATACCTGCAACATTTAAAATTATTCCAAGGAAATAATACTAAGTTCTTGATTTTCATAACCTGTCTGAAAAATGAAAGCATCTTTTAAAATTACCTATAATGTAATCAAACCTATATTTTTCCATATTAAATAGATACTTTTCGGGGGGGGGGGTTGTTTTTAAATGTTGAATATATTTTCCACAAGATGGCAGCAAAACCTCAAGCCAGAGCAGAGGTTTGTGTGGACCCTGAATTTAGTGATAGCTTCCAGTTGGTTTCTGTTAAGAATTGTTGATGAAATGAGCAAAAGCAAACCTTTGGGTTTTAATTTTTTTATTTTTTGAAAAATGAGGTGTGTTAATAATGAGGTTGTGCTCCATAAACATTTTGAAGCATTAAGTGAGAAAGGTCTAGATAGTCTGTACTGTTTAAAAACATTTTTAAAGGGGGGGTCCATTTACTAACTTCAAGGTAGTATCTAAATAACAGCAAATGAACCTTGTGGAATATATAGAAATGCCCCCTTTTTAACTTTCTCAATAGGAAAAACGTGGTTTCCGAGAAGTGCGGGTTCTTGAAAACTTGAAGAACACAACTTTTGAGACAAATGACCAAACTCTGCCAAAGTGTGAACAAATGATGCAAGGGAACCTAAATGAAGCTCTCAGGAGATGTAAGCTAGAAATTATTGGTTTTCTTCTATGCCTTTTACAAAGTGTTTGGATTCTTAGACGCTAAACAGCTCCACATAAAGTTGGAGCCTTTATGTAAAGTAGCCATCAGGTGGCCCTTTTATTCACACCATTATGGGCCATATTCAAAAGGAAATAAAGATGTGAGTGTTTTCATCCTGAGCTTTGCCTGATGCTTAATTGTAGAGGGAAACTGCTGTTTGGTTTTAAAAGCACTTTTCCTTTTCAGCAGTAGGAGAAACTACCATGAAAATAAGTCTCTGACTTTACAAATGGTCCTCCCTATCCCCTCCTTGTTATGGCTGTTCACACTTCCAATACCTGTAAAAACAACAACATCATTCCATTCTCAGCAAGGCTAGTAATGCGTGGGCATGTCAAATGCTGCATTAATTCTGTGCATCATAGTTAGACCTGCATGGCTCTAAGGCAGCAAGATGGGATCTGGAAGGAACCATCCAAAACACACACACACACACACACATATCCCAGGGTATGGTTGAAAGGTACACTACCTTACTGAAGCTAAGCAGTCTGGGTCTGGTTAGTGTTGGATGGGTGACCACCTGGGAACCATGTGTATGCCACCCTGGGTCCCATAATGGAAAGAAAGCAGGATATAAATGTAGGAAAATAAAAACCACTGTATGAAGTTGCAAGAATAAGATGGCTGGAGATAGACACACACAGCAAAACTTGGGAGACGATTCTATTCCTCTTTAGCCATATATTTATAAGTTGTCATGTATAAGGCAGAAAATGGTTGCGGATATTACATTTTTACATAGTATTTTTCAGCATCCTGCATAGATCCAAATGTCTCAACGATTAGCAGAAAAAGTGTTATGCAACATAAGTGAATATTTAAATTAATAGAATATGTGCAGGCACAGAATTTAGACTATCTTGGTTCAAAAATCTCAGTGGCTTTTAAAGTTCACCCAGTCATGTAAAAAATATTATGTAAGATGAATCCAACCACAATTTTTTCCTTTATATATATTTTGACAAGGGCATCCTGGCTGAAACTAGACCACAATGTGGTTAAGATACACAGCTTCTCTGTGCAGTGAGATTAAATATCTCTTGTCAGAAATGTGTCCCTTAAAATGAGCCAATGAAACAATTGTAACCTATACCTCTCAGTACAGGTAGCCAATGAAATGATCAACAGAATCCAGGGGAGAGAGCAGGAAGAAAGAAAGGTAAGGATTAATAAGTTAAGAACTAATGCCGGGTCTAACCTGCAAGGTATTCTGGTGATATTCTATGTAGTTTTTTCCTTGCACCAAAACGCTGTATGGTTTCAGAATAATTGTTCTGCGCCTTCAATCTTCCCTTCTCTACTGTTTCCTTCCCTACACCCACAGCTAGGTTTTGCTATGGTAAATGGGATTTTGTGGTTTATTTTGTTCATTTGTTTGTTCGTTCTTACTATCTCAGCAGCAAGTGTTCTGCTGCTGAGTCTTAACTTTATGTTATAATACTGCATTCAACACAACATATAAGCCAGGGAGGAAACAACTAGCTGTGAACCAATTAATGAATGCTTTAGCATATGCTAAGTAGTGGATGCCTTACGGTTAAATATTTTTGTCCAGGTACATACCAGCTCTCTGGTCACTGAAAAAGCATGCTAACACACAAGGGGAGCTGTGCTACCTCTGCCCTGGCCAACAGTCTGCCTTTCAGCTTGCTAAGGGCTACTCAGTGAAGCAAGGAACCTCTTGTATTTGTGGAGGCTCCCCCCACCCTCGCATTCTGGACCTTGAGATTTTCTTGGGTTCCAAAAGTTTCAGAGAGCTTCCATGACCACTGGAGGCTCGCTTTTTCTCTAGGTCACCCTGTGTAAGGTGGAAGGAGACAGCAATGGGGGGAGCTAGCACCCTAGTCCCCACAGCCGCCTCCTCGTGTGTGTAACACACTTTCCAGATGACTGAAGGGTGCGACTATTAATCCACAAACTGCAGCAACATGTTGACTTCGCCACTTTCTAACCCAGTGTGGCTTTTAAGTAAAGCTACTTAGGAGTACAGTGGTGCCTCTGGTTGCGAACGGGATCCGTTCCAGAGGACCGTTCGCAATGTGAAAAGAGCGCAACCCACAGCGGCGCGGCGCGATTCGCCACTTCTGCGCATACGCATGATGTCATTTTGCGTGTCTGTGCGAGTGGCGAAACCCGGAAGTATCCCTTTCCAGTACTTCCGGGTCGCCACAGGACGTAACCTGAAAGAACGTAACATGAAGCAGACGTAACATGAGGTATGACTGTAATGCCAATCCATAGTTTGCATTCTGCAGACTTCTGATATGTTGCATGTGTTGAAACTGATGATCCCTGAGACTGCCTGTGGCGTTCGTACGTAGCCCCCGGTTGTTTCACGGGCTATTGACCCGTACACCTCTAATCTGCTGCCACCAACCAGGTTCTCTCCGGTAAAACACTTAGTCTCAGTCGGGTTCTCAAGTTAACAATGAAGATTGTAGTTTATTGCAAACACAACTAAACTTTAAATGCATTCGAAACACTGTTACCGTTTACCCTCTTAGTCTTATTGTATCCTGTCTCTAACTCACTCTAACTCTTCTACCTCCCCTCACACAAGAACCAATTGCACTAACTGTCTCTCTATTTTCAACTGCATTTTCCCAACTGTCTAAACCTCTGGCTAAGCCTTTTAAAAACAGGTAGGCTCTGCCTCTGGGCTTTTCTATTGGTCTACCTATTAACACTTTCTCTCCCCCTGTACAGACATTTCCAAAAGAACAGGCAAACACCACACTGCCAAACGGTAATGTGCAAGAAATTTGCAGATTCCTGCAGAGCCTTCAGTAAAACAAAAGTTGGTTCTAGAAGCTCACTTTCCTTCAGAATAGCTGCAAAAAAATGTAGAAAGAAGTTGAGGAGAGCCGCCATTATTAAGTCTTCAAGAAGCACTATAAAAATAACAGAGTTACTAGATCCTCTTCCACTTTCTCGCTATGTGGAAAGTTTTTCTTAGAATTTCCTTCACAGCTTGAGAAAGGGGAAAGAGATGGTTAAAGAAACCCAAATCCCTATTTTTCGTGGAACAAAAAATATCCAACAGAATGGAAATGTAAATCTTTCCTGCTTAGTTGAAAACACTGAACATATTATGAATACAGCTTATTGAAATGGAAGTGTTTCATACTTGTGGATGTTATTTAATGAAAGGCCATATTATAAGAACATGTGACTCACTGGAATCTCTCACATGGCTGCACATTGCTTGTTTGTAATACAGATATTCTAAAACCTCAGGATTAGGAAAAACTGTGCAAGAAGTTAATTCTCCATGTTAGTTCTGTACTTCACTATTATAGGCAACCTGTTCAGCTCTTTAGGCTGCAATAGAGCTGCATTGTAAGATGGCTGCAGCTACAGTCAATGTTTCTATTTGTATATGAAAATGATGGATAACAGTTAAATGATATCAGACGTAATATAGATGTAAAATTCCCAATTTATTCAACTTGGCTAAAATATTGGGAGTCTACCACAAGTACACACATTCCCCCCTCTTCGCTTACACACGAATTCTTTCCTTTAGCCATGATGCATCTGCACCAATGTATACCTTTACCCACTTCAAGCGCTGGCGTCAGCCACTAGTTTGAACCTAACCACAGTTAAAGTTAATATTGGTGCAGATGTAATACAGTACCATGGTAAGAAAGCCCCAAAGAGGTGGTTTCGGGTATGGCTGGGCAATATATTGATATGTCATCTCAAATCGGTTGGAAGTCCATGTGGTGATATCAATTTCATAGTTTTTGACCTGGCAATATATCACAAATCATGATGCGCATGTGTGTGCTATGCAAAAACCACAATGTGAGGGGAAAATGTGAAGCCAGCCAATGCCTCTACATAGCTCCATCCTTATTTCAGACATGATTGCAGACACTTTCTGTCAATACATGTGGTAGCAATTTATTCATATATCTGTTAGATTTATCATGGTGATGGCTGTGTAAAGACTATAGGAGATCCACAGCCTGGAAGATTTATGATGTTTGTGTATAATGTTCAGAAATAGCACAATAGTGAGGCGTTAGTATTGGCTGGGGTAAATGTATGTTGAACATAATGCCCCAAACCATAGAATTGACCATGCTCTTATGCCAGTCTTATCTTGTATCACTTTATGCCTTAATTGGAAAGGACTGCTGAAAAATTCTTTAGAACCAGCTTTAGTTTGCTCACCAGATTTCCCTTCCAGCCTTTGCACCATCCTGGGAAAGCTGAAAATTATTATTTATTAATTGATGGCTTTCCCTGGTTTATGTGCATTATTGGACAGCTTAATTCTACATGAACAAGACAGTCCTGTGTCCTGACTATGCTTCACGCTTCTTATGTGTTTATATCTTAAGATGGAGGGTGACAAATACTAAATACAAGGTTCTTGTGATCGAGGGTTACTTTTTATTTTTTAAAGGAGCATATCACAATCAGTGGTTGCCATGCTGTATTTCATGCATTTTGCTGAAGTTAGCTATCAGCACTGGATAAGAGAGGTTATTAAATTGAGTTGGCACTGCTTATTAAACTTTCAAGTTAAATACTGAGAGTTGCCAGTCCAGAGTATAGCCAAGCACTTACTGTGTCTGTCTGGGTATTTATGTTAAAACAAAAACAATTTAAAGTGTCTGATAGGATGATTTTAAAAAGACAGATTTTGCTTTGTTCATTTACTTAAATTTTCCTTGTTCTGCAACAGTACCCAAAGCAATTTGTCCACAGCACTGTAGAACAGGCAACAACCATTTTGCACAGGGGTTACATTCCTGACCCTCCCGTGTGTTGGCGGAGTACGTGGAAGCCCCTTTCACCCCCTGCCCCCTTTTCCAACCACTTCTGGGTTACGGCGATGTGCGCATGCACAGTCATGCGTTAGTTGTTGCCTGTATACAGTTGCACATACTACGGGAAAAGCGCTAGAAACAGCACCATCCAATTTACAAATAGCAGCAGTGTAAGAAAAAAGGCAATAGTGCAAGGGGAAGCCACAAACTAGATTTAGCTGATAGCAAATAGCAATTGTGGTGGGGAGGGGATAAATCAGAATGAAAGCAAGCCGCAGCAGGGAGAAACTGAAGCAAAAGCATGGTTGGGCAGTTGTTTTCTCACCCATGATGGTGGCAAAGTATAAGGGCCCCGGTTACAGTGAAAGCTGGTTTCCATTCTTGCCTTGTTAACAGTGACACCAGGTCTGCCCTGTAAACTACTTGTCATCTTTTTTGTTATATTTTTGTACCACAAAACCTAAACTGCGTGGATGTTTTCTTTTGTAACTTCCTTTTCCATCTCAGCTTCAGACTGAGAAACTAATGGCTGGTGAAACACGACGCAGAGCTCTGTGGGAGGAGTTTGTGAAGGAGCAGCAGAAAACAAAAGCAGTCGTGGACGAAGAGCACATCAAAGCGATGGAGCGCCTCAAAGAGCAATATGCCGCAATGGAAAAGGACCTCGCCAAACACACACTTTAAGAAACTCTCGTGCTCAGTAAGACTGCTCCTCATTTGCAGTATTGCTTTTCTTCTTAGTCCAACAACTTCCAATTTCAGGGTTACCAAGGAAGTACCAGAATTCAAATAGCATAGCAGGAATAACAAGGAATTGGGGAGGGAGGGGCTCTGTAACTACTATTAATTATTCTTTGGCACTGATACTGGCGTCCTTCAGATGATCAAGCCTTTGCTTAATAAGCCAGGATATTCACAAGCTCAGTGCCATCACACTTACTCCCTTTGCTCCCCATTTCCTTTCAGTGGGGAAACAAACCAGGAAGCCACAGTTAAGCATAGCTTCCTGTTGTGTCTGAACTGGGAAACCATGCTTAATAGCTCCCAAATAAGTGAGAATTTGTAAGCCAACTTTAACTCCATGAACATGGTTTATTGTGTACTGGCTTGCTTGGTAGCCATTAACCATAGTTTCCTGGTCCAGACATAGCTGGAAGTTTATGGTTAACTGAAGTTTCCTGGCTTGTTTCCCCACTCATATGAAGGGAGGAATGAAGGGGCGCTATACAGGTACATGGAACATAAACTGGAGTTTACTAAACCAATAGAGGATTTGATTGTCTGAGGCAGGTATTTATGTTAAGTGTTATTTTTTTTTTTTAAAAAAAAGCAAGTCTATGTAGGAACATAAGCAGTATTCTCCCTTGATAATCTAAATTAGTTTCTCTGTTTCTATGTACAACCATTCATCTTGTAAATGCATCCTATTCTTCATGCAGGGAATTCAAATGAGCTCTTTCACACTTATACCTTGGCTTTCAGAACAAGGAAGATGGTGAAAATTTAATTTGAGAAATCCTCCAAAGCTACAAAGTTATGGAAGTACAATGCCCTGAGCTTTATGGGCAGACTTTTTGCTAGAAAGCTCACCACAAAGAAATCTGAAAGATCTCTCAGAAGAACTGATATTTTTTTAAAAAAAATAAATAGAATAGCAAGAATGGGTGACAACCTGAGATTTTCAAAAGTATTATTCCTCCTGTTATCCAGCATTATAGGGGACAATTACTACTTTTTTTGAGCACTGCATGTGAGCAACTTTTGCTCAAGATGAACAACTTCACATATCAATTTGTGTTCTTACAAGGAGATGGTATTATGGAGCGTGATGAGCTCCTGTCTTCACTGTGATTAATCTGCATTAAGTATTAGAATAATGGAGGGAAAGCTCCTTGATTAGTCCTTTGTAACCTAACTTTCAAAGAATTCATTAACAACAGGATGAAAGCCAAGGCAGGCTAAGTGAGGAACAGGAAGATCAAGTGTTATTTTAACAGCTAGGCAGTGCATAAAATAGGAACATGTAAAACAAAATTACTCATTATCTGTGTTGCAACTGCAGATGGCCAACAATGGTTGCCTGTGTGAATGTATGGCTTAGTGTCAAGGCTCCATCCTGGCAGCCTGTTGATAATGTGATTAAAGTGAGCAGAGGAGATGGAATAAGTATTTGTGATTTCTTTCAATAACACTGAACTTCTGCCAAGCTGCTCTATCCACTACCATAGGGCTGACAGCTTCATCAATCATCATCAGGTACCTGGGCTGAAAAGAGCACTTGCCAGCAACTGAGGCATGCTGGAATGTTGTGAATTCTCTTGTGGATTGGGGGTGGGGGGGCAGGAGGGGAAATGGATGACTTTAAAGCATTTCACACGCTGCGAGGGGGGCAGGGAGAACCTCTAACGAAATTGATGCAAAGCAGTTTTTCAGATGTCTGTGAACTCACTGATGTGGTGAAGTAAATTAAGAATCTGCATGGCTTATTATAGAATTGAATTTGAGGCAGTTCAGAAGGTCGCTCTTGGTTTTTAACTCTCTGTTGGTCTTCAGAGCAAATGCCAACTTTTTGTGACTCGGATATTGGTGTGGTTTTTAAAATAATTTCTTCTGTTGAAGTTAACTTAAGGTATGACGCCACCTGTGTGACCCTTTCATGGGTTTTATAGCACTGAGGCAGGGGTCGAAGGAAATGCCTAGCGCTGTGCACATCTGGGTTCAGCAGAAGCAGCAGAACTTCCTAGAAGATGTAGCTGCTAGTCTCACACTGTCTGGAAATGGCTGCCTTACATCTCGGCTTTACAATTCTCATAACACCCAGAGCCTACTATTCCGTCCACTCCTTCTCTGCTAAAAGCTCTCAGCCCCTCTTGTGCCTAATTTGAGTGTTTCCCTTGTCCTACTTTCTTCATGACCCCTTCCACTGCTCATTGCTTTTCACCATGGGTCAGCAAACTTTTTCAGCAGGAGGCCGGTCCACTGTGTCCCTCAAACCTTGGGGGGCCAGACTAAATTTTGAAAGGAAAAAAAAAGGAACGAATTCCTATGCCCCACAAATAACCCAGAGATGCATTTTAAATAAAAGCACACATTTGACTCATGTAAAAACACCAGGCAGGCCCCACAAATAAGCCAGAGATGCATTTTTAATAAAAGGGGACATGTAAAAACATGCTGATTCCTGGACCATCCGCAGGCCGGATTTAGAAGACAGTTGAGCAGGATCCGGCCCCCGGTCCTTAGTTTGCCTATCCATGCTTTTCATTGTTGATTTCACCCCTTTGCCGTCTCCATCCTGCCTCCTTCAGCCACTCTAATTATTAACTATCCAGCTTCCTTACCTGCATAGTACTTTAATATTTCGTGTCAGTAATATACACCAGGGGTTGGAAGACAGTGAGTTCAAATCTTGAGCTTCCCCCTCACTCCTGCCCTGGGCTCTTCGACAGGTAGGTGTGGTTGCCCACCCATCAATATCCTGACATTACCATGACATCAGATGACCTTTTTTTTTTCCTTTGCATGCCCAGGTTGGATTCAAATCACACCTGCAAAGGAACTCAGCTGAACCCACTTTTTGGCATGGATCAGTTGTACTTTAGAGTTCCTGGGTGGATGAAGGTCACATTTTAAAAGCGCCATATGAAAGCCCTGCTTTCAAGGAACAACTGGAGGGCACTTTAATGCTCCCTATTGTTCCTTGGCAGCTGCAAATTTACCTGACATCATATATATATATATGATGTGCCCAATTAGGACCTCTTCCAAGCATAATATATTTCACAGATTGGAGGGTCTCCATGCCTGATACTTGCATTTTCCCAACCTAAATCAATGATATATGCATTTTCTTCTACCTACATCATATTCCTGCTTCTTGCAAGGAAAAAAAAAGTTAAAAGTTACTCCATCCATGGTTGTTCTTTAGGAATCTCGTTCATTTCATTAGTCATTTGTTACAATCGTGTTTGTTATTAATTTGCTGTTTCATTTGTTTTCTTCCCTCCCCCTGTTACTCTCAATGGGAGTCCAAGCTGCTTTTCTTCTGCCTGTAAGTGCTGTGTTCTCTGTCCAATTGGCATTGAATTTTCAGACATTCTGCTACCCCTCCAAGGGATCAGACCTGCCAAATTTCAGACAAATAGGAAAAAGGGCCCCCATTGTTAGGCTATGTCTATGTCTGTCTAAAGTGGCATTTATTTTTAGTCCAGGTCCTGGACACTTAATAGCTGCTCACATACAGCAAACTAATTCCTCCACTCCCAGTGAATATTAAGGCTCTAGGAACCAATGAACAAGCCTAGGGACACGCCATGTATTACAGGAAATAAGCTGTACAGTTTTGGGCTTGTGATGAGATTTTAGTTTGCTTTATGTGAGCAACAATTGACTTTGACTAAAAACAGATTTAACTAAGAGCTGCTCATTTGCTTTTTTCACCCTTCCCTCCTTAGGTAACCTCCACCAGCATGTATTCCGAGTTTAGAGAAAAACAAAAATAAATGAGCAACAAATTAATATGTGCCAATTTGGAATTCATTTGGCATTTATCTTGTATTTCAACTTTTAATCAGTTGCCAAAATGAATCCGGTTTTTCTAGCATATGCTGTCTTGGGCTTTGTGCTCCCTGTTTCATGTCTTTCAAACTTCCTAGAACCTCTTCTCATCATTCCCCTTAGTCTGCCCGTACCAGAAATAAAGTTCATCCCGTCTCTAAAGGCATTTTGTCCAAGAAGAGCCAAAACAGTCTTTCACTTCCTTCACAAAACCCAGACAGTTTTTGAAAATTCTGTTGTCTGCATTTTTGTTCCCTCAGTACTTAAAATGCTTGTGGACATTCAGCAACAGCACAGCAGCTCAGCCAACCATTGGCAGAGATTTTAACTGCCATGAGATCTCACAGCACATTACAATATGTATGTGCAAACTGGCAAGAGTTCTTATGCCGGCAACATCTTTGGTAGCAGCAGTCAGGTTAAAATGTTAGGATGAAGAGGCCAATGTTATGTACTGAAGTTCTCACCCTGGGCCAGCAGGGGGATACTGTAGATAGTTTTCACTCAGGTCCACATATGCAAAGAAGGGATTGAAACTGATGTTCAGTGATTGGATAGTTACAGAAAGTGTTATAGTTGCATTGTAGTGGAGCTCTATATAAGCAGGCTGGCTGAACCCTTCAGTTCAATTCTGTTCCGGCCTGTGAATAAATAAGAGCTGTTTGAAGAATTGCTGTGTCGTCTGATATGTTCACCCACAACTTAACAGCCACCATTTAAAATGGGTCAAAATTGACCACCCATGGTTGGTAGAATTTTCAAAGGAACCTAACAGACAAGGTTCTCTGTCCTCATTTCTTAGTGTTAACACAGGTTCTTTGAACTCACTACCTGATATAACTTCCAAGAGTGTTTGATACTACACCCTAAAATATACATAGCAGGGTGGATTTGATTTAAATCAAATCGATTTAAATCACAGTTTAAATCACTAGTCAGTAAGACTTGATTTATTTATTTATTTATTTATTTTACAGAAAGACTCATTCTTGCTGGTATAATCTTAGTATTTACAACCATATGAAGGTTTCATTTTTTGGAGTAATAAATTTTCAGAGTAGTTTTTACAGTTATATCAAAAATTACTGATTTGGTTATGCTATTAGAAATACATTGACAGATAATTATGAAATTATTGTGAGGTTTAATAAGTTAACTGTTTATATTTGGACACCTTTTCTGCTGTACTTTATTGGAAGGAGAAAAATAATCATTTCCTTAATAACAATTTAAACAATTTATTTAACTAAAACAATAACATTGTAGCATATGTATCCATGTTTGTTAACTGATGTGGTTAAACAATGTTTTAAAAACCTTAGACTGAGTTTTAGCACACATGAAATACTTAAAACAAATCCTTATTTCCTGATGAAAAGCCTTTGGACTATAATGTAACTTAAATAGAAAACTATCTTCAGAAAGATTTTTCCTCCAAAAGCATTTTATTGAAAAAAATCCAATTTAAATAAAACCAACCCAATTCAAATAAAAAAAACCCTGATTATATTTCACCATCAGTCCCCTCTGAACTCACCAACTGCATTTGCTGTGGGAGGAAATGGTGCTTCTACTGGGCAAATGACCCTAGATGAACCGTGTCCTTGTATTTTGTCAATAAAGTCTAGTATTTCATTGTGACTTTTACTGGCAGTGTAAAGGAAGCTGTTTCTTGTTTTGTTATTGTTTGCTCAACACTTTTTATGCAAAAACAAGAAAAAATATGAAGAAAACAGACTGTGATCAGTCTGCTTGTGAAAATTGCTCAGCCTGCTGACATAATAGTCAGTCACTTGATATCATTGTTATATGATTTGTTGCTCACCAGCAGGTGTCAGTATGAGCATTGAAGGTCCTATGCGCATCTGAGATGTACTTATCTGCATTCACACCAGTTCTAACATCCCAGCCTTCAAACATTACTTAGAAGCAGTGCTTCTCTTCTAGAAAAGGAAAAAGGTGTAGGTACCCCAGGAAAAAAGCACTGCTTAGAAGGAAGTCCCATTTCAGCTTCCTTTTAAGGACATCTTTATACCATTTTTTTTGGGGGGGTGCTTTTTTGTCTTGAAGTAATCTAGGATAAGGTTAAGTTTGTCTGTTGTTGCTAACTTTAGTCTTCAGTTATTTGCTTTCTAGACCTTGAATGAGAGACCCTAGAGAAGCAACATGTGAAGAATTCTGCTTACTAAAACCAGCATAAAGAACCAGAACTCAAGTGTCTTTGATGGTGTGGATTGGTAGCCTCTGGCCAGTGAAGAATGTCACTGAGAGGTGATTTGCTTGTTTGTACTTCTGACTGTTTCTCTACATATAGCAATCACCCACCTACAGTCTGAAGTGGTAAAGTCTACAGATTTTGCCAACTGGCTCCTCCTCCTCACTCTGCATGAGCTGTTCTCAAATAATTGTTTTCCTTGTTCCTTTCCTACAATATCCGTGTTCATTCCTACATTGTTCGCAATGGAAGGCTTGGTAAAAGACGTATTCCCCATCCTTTCAATATCTGTTTTTCAGCCAGGGATCTGTGAGCATCCTTGAAGGGCTCTGGGGGGGGGGGAGCCCCAAAAATTGCAATTGCAGGGAGGCTGCAATTCTCTGCCAACTTATTTGGGAGTGGGTCTTAGTGAAACCAATTGGACTTCCTTCTGGATGAAAATGTACAGGAGCAGGATGTCCAAGTTGTCATCATTTGTTCACATGACCACAGGAGACTAGGGTTAGACACATCACAGTTTACTTCACTTTAACCCACATTTAAGATTCTACCAATTCAGCACTAAAGAAAGCTGCTTACTTCTTGAGGGAGATTTACTGATTGCTTAGACCTGCTTCTGCAACATTGAGAAAATAATGCAGGAGTTTGGTTCCTACTCCTCTTTGACAAGCACCACATATTCATGCACTGTTCTTGCAATGACTCCTGTCACAGGGCCAGATCATCCAGTTTCTAATCTGAAAAAAAACTTCGGGTTGTATTCAATCAAGTTATCCCATTAACAGAAGGATTTCCACTTGTGCAGCAGACATTCCCCTACTTCTATCCCACCCCATACACCCCTCAAGTATGTTCTGAGAGTTCCCCCAACCCTCCAAAGCAGATGGGGGGGCAACAGGTAGAGGAGGAGAAGGGGAAGTTCTATTGCACTAGCAGAAGTTCTTGGATTGATGGGAAGACTTCATTGGATACAGTCCTACATATAGTGGATCAATAAGCTTCACTGAGTGCATGACATAATGCTTTATGTGTGGAATGGAGAAATGGAGCTTTGTGTTAGCACCGCAGTATCATACTGTACCAGAAAGTAAGGCAATGCTGGCATGGCAAAGAGCTGCAGTGTGGGCTCTTTCCATGTGACTTGGGGCTCCTCACATTCTCTGGTACAGAAAGAATTCAGTAGCCCCTGTTCCGCAAGAATAACATCACAAGACTGAGCGAAATCAGTTTTCTGATTTAGATGACCAGCTGGCATGCCATACAAAGTTACCCAGCTAGAATTGCGTTGTGGAACTATAATTGTCCTAATGTCCCTACTGAAATTATTTTCCTTTGAACTACCCATGAAAACGATTTTGCACAATTGTCATTCTTATTACTCATAATGTCTTGTTTGTTAGGATCACATAGAAAAGTTCTGATTTGTCCCAGAGGCACGTTCTGGTTGTAGCTGATATCCCATTGTATAAACGACCTTTTTAAGTCTAATATAATAGGTTTTGTTTTGGGGGTGCTTTTTCTTTTCTTTTTTTTTCCTGTTGCTTGCATGCCGTCTGAAATACTTTCGGTCGCATGAACAATTTGTCTGGGACAAAGTCTTATCTACAGAAAGTCTGATTCAGCTTCAGAGACTTAAGACTACATGGTCTTGTTGTGTTTGTTTCTTTTTTAAAAAAGAATACATATGTGTATGTGCGCCTTGTTAAAAAACATTGCTGCCCCCATCTAGGAACAATACAACACTCACATCATTTCCTGAAAAACGTGTAGAGTTGGAAGGCAATTATCTACTTACCAAACAAGCTAAAACAACAGTTCCTGATATTCTTCTGAAATATTTCAACTTCCCAAGAATCCGGAAAAAATAGTTCCATGAGATGGTGCTATGAATGAAGGTATGACATTTCAGTTTCCTTCGCTTGGAATTTGACATCTCAGGGCAATAGATTACTGTGTATTTGGCACTGGTGAGGGAGGAGATATCAAGTGAGGTGCGGGCAGAGTGACTGCAAATGACACGTTATTTTTCTTCAGTACAGGAACAATGAACCGTTTGTATATGTTTCTCTCTTACAGTGACAGGCATATAGCTTCTTTCTTGGTGGCCTTTGAGCAACATCATCTGAACCACCAGCAAGAGAAACAGGAACCACATGATGAAATAGTTCAGTAGCAATAGACACCCATCTTTTGTTTGTATCTGCATAAAGTAAAATTAATAAATAAACTGTAAACTGAATATAGTGGGGAAATAATTTGGGGAAACAACATTAAGAAGACAGATGGTTTTCTTTTTGTTTTCTTTCTAGCAGTTCAACAGCATTCCCTTTGTGATATTATAAATGTGACCCTCCATCTGGATGGGGTGGTCAGGGGTGATGGGAGTTGTGACATGCCCAAAATTGTTGGATTACAAGTTCCTCAGCCTTGTTACAAAGTAAAATAGGACAGCATGGTATAAATACTGCTTTTACAGTCTCACATATGGCGTGTATTCTCAGTCTTTAGAAATCATTAGCTATTAATTGAAACTGCAATAGTATTTTGAGTGACGCTCTTCTACAATGGACATTCAAAGGGAATGCAAGGGTGATTTGCAAAGACGTCTGCTTCAAGCTCAGCTTCTCTGTTTCCTTATTAACAACTTCCTTTTTGTATCTGTGGAACATGCCCTTGCTAGACTGACATCCCAGAAAAGGAGAAGGTCAGATTAGTTTACTGGTTACAGTATTTGGCTTTTGTGGGTTGCATTGCTGAGTTTTGCTTAACGCTTTGTTTGCAGGCCATGTGCAGCTCTAGAACTTGTTGGCACCAGTTGGTCCTTTTGGCTGGCAGATTCCTGGTAGAGAGTTAGGCAAATGAAGTCTGAAAGAGTGAACACCTTGTTTGCTGCAGATGGTTTTTTAAGGTCATGTTTGACTCATTAGCGTTGCTTCAAACCTTTTGCTTTTCCTACATGGAAAGCACTTCAATATGGGACATGGGCACCACCACAAGTAGCAATAATTTAAAATATTCAGAGTATTTATATCTATTAATAGAGCAGTCTTTTTATTGAACAGTACTGTTCCCCACCCTTTTATTAATACCAACTTCCTGGTTAGCTCGGGTGGAGAGGTTTCCATTGAATTATCTACAATGGCTTTAAAAAAACCCATTTACAGTTACATTATCTACACACTAGATAATAATCTTGGTAATAAAATAATTGCTTTCCACTATTCTGCACTTCAACCATGATAGTCTTCCTTTCCAAATTTTTGCAGTGCCCTCCAATCCTCATAAACCCTTTTGCAAACTAACGAAATATTTTTGTTGTTGTTTATCCAAATATTTAAGCACTCCCACCAGTCTAACCTCATGCAAAATCCATTAGTAAACATTGGAGACACTACCAGCCTTACTGCAGGCCAGCAACTGCAAACTTTCTAGCTTCAATGAGCCCTTTCCACACTGATTTCTTTGCCAAGGAAAAACTGCCCATTGGTCATAATTATCTATCTATCTATCTATCTATCTATCTAAACTATATATAACATGCATCATCTTGCCATAGGCACTTTGCATGTTGCAGAGGATTCCGAGGTGTATTTGGGGATGCACAATCAGTTCATACTCTGCCTCACCATTGCTCCACTTTGGACTGCACCCAATTTTGTTCTGTGGCTGCATGTTTTGGGGGGGTGATTGCTAATGGTGGGCTGTTTCACAGAAGCCTTTCCATCATTACTGGTGTCCTCAATGAAGGACCCTTGACAAGCTTCCAAGAGCCCTAGGACACAGGTTGAGAACTACTGCTATAAACATTTGAGAGGCGGGGAATACTCCTCAATTATCTGTATTTAAACCCAATTAACTTCCACTTTTCCTGTGTCTAGAAAGCAGGGGTCCAAGTGGTTTTCCGTTTGACCCCATGCTTTCAAAGCATGGGCCCAAGCAGTTTTCTCTTTGCCCTGCTGCTTTGACCTAGAAAACCCACTCTTTAGTGCTAAATGGGAGCAAATGTCAATCCAGAGAAAACTCAGTTGACATTTGCTCCAATTCAGCAGTAAATGGCAGGAAGGCGGTGAGGCAAGTCAAAGAATACTCCATTTCCAGCCTTCCCCTTTAGAGTCTTCCATTATCATGCAAAAGAAGTGAACAGATCCTTTTTCATTTCCTTTAAAAGAACTCAGCTGTTCAAGCTCTGATTTAGGACATGCTGAAAGAAAACACAGGCGGAGGCAGTCAGAGTAAATGAGGAATGTCAGGACTCAGAAGGCTACGTTGTTTAGCCTGAAGGGCAGTTGGAAACTGAAGTGAATGAAGCCAGGTTAAAGGCCTGGATCAATAAGCGCTTACGGTAAGATGTCCCAGGAGTGAGCACACAAAGACGGCTGTAGTACTCTCAGCCATTTTCTTGCCCATACCAATATCATGCCTTCTGGCGAAATAGGAAGCCAACCACAGTCATGAACCAAAGGTGTCCTAAAGGAGGTTTCATATTCTCCCAGGGCAGAGGCTGCCGTTGTAGCCCCTGCCAACGGCTTGCGCTCAAACCAAGCCATAAAGGCAGAAAAAGGAAAGGCTCAAGAACACCCCAGCCCACCTAGGTGCAATTAAACTAAATAACTGAAACAAGTTGGCTGCTGCTGGCACTTTTGGTGCCCTGGGGAGTTTTCTGTTTTGGAGCCTCAATTGCGGTAACGTGTAGGACGCACAAGACAGCGGAACCAGCCAACCGGATGGGCCTGCTGTCCGCTAATTGGTCTCAGTCTGCTCCCATGTCCGGCCACCGGACGACAGGCACAGCCTCCTTGAAATTGTCACCACCAAATGAACCACTGACCTTAACTGAAGGAGCCACATATATCTTGGGCAAGGGAGAAAGTAAAATTAAAAGGGTATTTTTTGTTTTTCCACCCCTGCCTTCCTTCTCCCCCATCGTTCCAGAGTTTGTCATCCTATCACACCTATCAACAGTGCCAGCCTCGAGACATTTTAGCACCTTGCGTCGAGTGCCAAAAAAACCCTGAAATGACATGCTATCCCCCTGCATACTTGAAAAGCTGCCATTCTTTCCCCCTACCCTCAATAAAACTCACAGAATCTGAGCTGAATTGATTCAATTCAGGGTAGAGGAGAAGCTAGAAAAGAAAGAAAGAAAGAAAGAGCCCACAGCAATATTGTAATTTAGGTGATATTAGACTTAGTTTGCGCTCCCCCTCCACACGCCCTCTTTAGGTGGTGATGGGTATTACTTCACTTACTTCAAAACATGGCGGCAAGCCAACCTTGCCACATATGAAGACACTGTTGCTCCTGAGTTGGGGCCCTGGACTTTTGCCCCAGAATACTACTCTGATGGGACTACTGGCCCATGGTCATCCCCTCCATACTTCCCAATTAATGAAGAATAGAGTCCCATAGTTAGCACAGAAGAAACAGACTGTATGTCTGTAAATTGCTGTGAGTATGAGGCTCAGTAGTTTAGCAGCAGGGTTACCACCATCTTTTATTGCTTGGGGTGTGTGGGGTATGTTGGTGGCATTTCTTTATAAAGACAGGAGACTGCAGGGGTTGATTAAAAAACTTGTTGATAGATGAAAATGATGCATCTGGCAGATCAAGCAACTTTGTTTTTTTAAAAAAAAGTATTGTTAATTGTTTTTTATGCAAGAGCATGGGTAGGCAAACTAAGGCCCGGGGGCCGGATCCAGCCCAATCGCCTTCTCAATCCGGCCCGTGGACGGTCCGGGAATCAGCGTGTTTTTACATGAGTAGAATGTGTCCTTTTATTTAAAATGCATCTCTGGCTTATTTGTGGGGCCTGCCTGGTGTTTTTACATGAGTAGAATGTGTCCTTTTATTTAAAACGCATCTCTGAGTTATTTGTGGGGCATAGGAATTTGTTCATTTCCCCCCCAAAAAATATAGTCCGGCCCCCCACAAGGTCTGAGGGACAGTAGACCAGCCCCCTTCTGAAAAAGTTTGCTGACCCCTGTGCAAGAGCATGCTGAAGCATGGAGTGGCAAGCATCATCTTGGAGGAGGGTAAATGCCAAGTCTCTCATGCACAAGGGAATGCCTCTTCTAAGATGGTGCCTGCTGTGACCGACATGTGCACAATGTACAGTGGTACCTTGGGTTACAGATGCTTCAGGTTACAGACGCTTCAGGTTACAGACTCTGCTAACCCAGAAATAGTACCTCGGGTCAAGAACTTTGCTTCAGGATGGGAACGGAAATCGCGTGCTGGCGGCAGCGGGAGGCCCCATTAGCGAAAGTGGTACCTCAGGTTAAGAACAGTTTCAGGTTAAGAACAGACCTCCAGAATGAATTAAGTTCTTAACCTGAGGTACCACTGTATAATCTAAAAAAACCAAATCCTTTTGTCTCCAGGTGGACTATTTTATTCAAATGCAACTTGTTTGCAGGTTCTGTGGATAGATCTGTTCATTGACTGGAATTAATTCACAATCGACCTATTAATATTTCCTTAGTTGAGTGACGACGGTCCTGCCACTTGTGAGGAGTGTTTAAAGAGCACTACAAGATAATAAAGTAAGGAGGACATTTACAGCCCTATAAATCCAGAGAATGGGCGTGGATCCAAAGAATCATAAACTAGTTCTGTGAGCCCAAGGAGGCTTTAGTCTTGTTTTTCTTGAACATCAGCCCACTCACCTCTGATGCATGGCAATCCTAAGACACACATCATGTGGTTCTTCATTTTTCTTCTATTTTTTTTTGGGGGGGGGGGTAAATAAGTGGATGATGTGTGTATCTCTGTTTGTCCACATGAAAATCCAGATTCCTTTGAAAAGCAAAAAAATATTATCAGTGTTGCGTAAGCCCCACAGCAACACCCTTCATTTCAAGAAGGTGGG